TACTTTTAATACTTAAAAAGAGTTTGTGTCAGAAATTTACATTTGATACTTAAGTACAAAAAGTATCAGATACTTTAAAAGTTTTACTCAAGTAATATTTTCAGAGAAGACTTTAACTTTTACCAAAGTATTTTTATGATAAGATACTTGTACTTTTACTGAAGTATCACTCTGAGGTACTTTGTACAACCCTGGTCCAGACGTACCCAGGCAGGTCTTCATGTCCTCTGAGGACATGAAGCCGTCGAAGCACAGACACTGGAACGTCCCCGGGGTGTTGGTGCACTGCCCCCCGTCACACACCTCGGGGGTCTCCTCGCACTCGTCGATGTCTGAGGAAGAGGGACAGAGAAGACCGGGTCAGCCAGGAAGCAAGGTCACCGTGGTAACAGTGTCTGTCACTCCCTGACTCCTGAGAGGCACAAACTGTGTGAAGTCTAAGCTGGTTGGCCCAGCGCTTGGCTCTGTTTCTACATAAAAGAGCCTTCACTGAAAACTCTGCAAGTTTGATAGAAAGGGGGCGGAGCCAAACCAGACTCCCACTCAGTACCTGGAGACTGACGGTTTGTTAGCAGCTGGGTACGAAACGGTTACAGTAAATAAGAGAGGCCGAGCTGGGACTGACCGGTGCAGGTCCGCAGGTCCGGCATCAGGGCGTAGCCGCCGCGGCAGCTGCACTCGTAGCTGCCCTCAGAGTTGGTGCAGAAAGACTCACAGCCGCCGTTCTCGATCGTACACTCATCAATGTCTGAGCAGCAGAGACATCATCATCATCACCATCATCATCATCACCACCATCATCACAATCATCACCATCATCATCATCATCATCATCACCACCATCATCATCATCACCATCATCATCATCACCACCATCATCACAATCATCACCATCATCATCATCATCATCATCACCATCAGTCTGAGGCTTCAGGACCTACCTACACAGTCCAGTCTGTCCTCAGTGGACTTATAGCCTGTGTTGCACACACACTGGTAGCGGCCGATCATGTTCACACACTGGCCGTTCCTGCACAGCCTGTCGCTCAGATCACACTCGTTTATATCTGGGAAMAAAGCACATTTATTATCCACGTTTCATCAGTCAGCCCTTTATTTTTGTTTCAAAACAAAACTGGCACAAAACACTAAAATGACTCTTAACTATTTGAACATCGAGAAACAATTAAACTGTTTTTAAAAACATTTKTATATAATGTCAATGAAGGAAGATTCAAAGGACTAGTCAAGATTTGTCCTAAACTGAGCTAATTAATGTAAATTACCTAAGGTAATTAATGATAATAAACTGAGGTAAGTAATGGTAATAAACTGAGTTCATCTTAATAAACTAAGGTGATTATTGGTATAAATTAGCTAAGTAAGTTAATGGTAATAACTGATTTTTTGTTAATAATCTAAGTTAATTAATGGTAATAATTGATTTAATGTTAATAATCTGAGTTAATTAATGGTAATAAACAGATAAAATCAAAGGTGAGTGATCATGTAGTGTCTCCACTGTAGGTGAAAGTGTTTTTCTGTTGATTCTAAAGGCGGAGTCAGCAGATGAAGCTCCGCCCTCACTTCAAACCCAAACTGATCCACAGATAAAAGTTTCTCACCGAGGCAGGCCGAGCCGTCAGGAGCGATCGTGTGTCCGTCGGGGCAGACGCACTGGAARCTGCCCTCTGTGTTTACACATTCACCCCCCCGACACAGCAGGGGGTTTCTCTCACACTCATCGATGTCTGGAGACAGGCAGAGGTCAAAGGTCAGAGGTCAGGTTAAACTCTGAGAAGCTGCTGATGCCTGATATGCTCATCAGCTGACACAACCAGTGAGTACCTGTCAGATCCATCATGTGATGATCATGTGACGATCATGTGATAATCATGTGATGATCATGTGATGATCATGTGACGATCATGTGACGATCATGTGATGATCATGTGATGATCATGTGATGATCATGTGATAATCATGTGATAATCATGTGATAATCATGTGACGATCATGTGCAATCATGTGACAATCATGTGACGATCATGTGCGATCATGTGACAATCATGTGACGATCATGTGACGATCATGTGACGATCATGTGACATCATGTGACAATCATGTGACGATCATGTGACGATCATGTGACGATCATGTGACA